GCAGTTCATGGATGTTTGCTTGACCTAAACTAGCTCTTAGGGTCGCCAACTTGAACGTTTGGTCGCACTTCTATTCGACTTCCTGTGTTTTTAGTTTTCTCGATCATATGGACCCAGAAACTGGCACCGGTAAAATAGCCTGAATCATCGCGCAACGACGACATGCAATTGTTGCTTGACGTCGATGGTAAATGACTAGGCGTTGATTTAACTGTCTACCTCGATATCGTGTAACACAATGGTGAATCGCTTTCAAACTAAGCTTTGTTAACACACTGTAACCGGACTTCGTTTGACCATGCGTTGGTCACATGATTTACCCGTTTGGTGGGATTGCGTTCACCATTAATTAGCCGCTACAGCTCACATTGCCACACGTTTCTTCTCTTCCATCATACCACCAGCGCATTAGTACGGTCAACTCGACTATTGTGCAGTCGCCAGTGGCGAAGTGCAAAACCTGGAATGAGTTTAGTATGGGGCTAGCAGGCTCATCTCCAGTTTACGGATTATGTCATACGCAGACGATGTAGAGAATAGGGCTTTACACCTTATTGTCTGTCTCGAGTTGACCTCATGATGACCCACCGGATATTACATCTGGGTGACTGCTTCGAGCTAGGGCAGCTGTTCCACATGAGGTCGACAAGCAGTACACGCAGGTACCGGTACAAGATTATATTGCCAGATCTAGAGCAGATAGCTCACCCACTACATACGAGCATCAGGTGGTGAACCACTGGAACGATTTATCAGGAACCATAGTCAAGGCGAACTCACTGTGGGAATTCGTCATCATCATCTTCACCCAGGGTGAAAAACACCCAACTAATGTGCCGCGATACAAAAAAGATAAGAGACTAAACGTTATAGACTAAAAAAGCTAAAATGGTAACATAATGCTAAAACCACACTATGCATTGGGTTAAGATCGTTGTAGGAGGGGAAAACTAAAGTGTAGGGAAGGGACTCACAACACAAACGTCATTGAGGTCCGCTCCTCGCCATGTCAGCTAGTGTATCCAACCAAATGTGTTCATCGTCCTTCGGACCACAGCCCGGCAGTCGGGCTGGTATAAATAAATAGCTGATGAATTTCTAACATTCAACTCCCCCTGCTACTCTTCTGTAATCAGTACACAGACCAACCTGCTTATAATGCCATAAGTTAATTGGCGGCTTAAGTTTGGTAAGCTCATCGCTTGGTGAGGGGGCTACCCTGTCCTCTGCACGGCAGTAACGTGCAACTCACTGGATAGTGAGCGGCGCTATATCACATCTAGCAACTTATTCACGATGGTCCTTGTCGTCCGCCGTAGCTCAGTGGTCTCAACCACGGACTGGCAACAGCCGAGTTGCGGGTACGAGCCCTACCAAGGGTCCGATGGAATGCGCACTGCTGACGATTCCCGAAAGGATGAAACGCGCGTACAGTGCTTTTCTGGGCGTGTGCCGTCTGTCTGAGTGAGTCTAGATGTGATGAATTTCTACCTATAACATCAATCCCCCCTACTACTCATCTGTAAATACATAAATACTGTTTTCATCTAGACGTCCTCATTACCACTACATCCACATTAATCACAAAAATCTCTCAATGACTTGCTTGTTCTCTATGGTTCACGTCTGCATTTATTCAGGGGCCTATGTTTGATTCCTGAGGCTGATGTTGCATTCTTGATGCTTCTTCACCGCAGTTGGGCTAAACCAACTTACACTTAAACTAGCTCTTTTTAAGCTGGATAAATTTCATTCCGCTTTATTTGGTTTGTTCTGCCTCCCTGAATAATGTGCTATTAACTGGCCACGTTGCTTACACTAATTGCGCTTATCTTCGGTAATTTTGTTGCGTTTGTAGCATTTAAGTAACTTGTGGACATTTCTTATTTATCACTGATTTGTTGCTGACCAAATTACTTCATATGGTAATTTAGGGAGTAGTTATGCCATCGTATCTGTATGCATTATTTGATTTATTTTATTTCAGCTTGTCGTTTAAAGTGAATGGCTGTTGTTTGATATCCCTGGTATGGTTGCGCTTGATGTGTATGTTGACAAGGTGTCTACCTGTCTATTACCCACTACCTCGTCCATACTGGCTCCAGGAGACAGTTGGTCGTTGCTGGAGGGGACGGGGTGCACGGTCCTTGTGGCCGTGTTAGGCTCAAAGAGCGGTTTCACGCACTCAGTGTGCAGCGGACTACGGTCCAGCCACCACCTTGTGTGCGGTTGATTCCCCAAATACAGCGTGCTTGTGTTTTGCTGTGAAGGAGTGTGGGCCGGCTCCGTTGATGAAACGTGGCTCCCATCCACATGCCTCCCGGTCTTATTCCTTCGGGTTTACACTGGATATGGGGTATGTGGTTGGAGCTGTGGGTGGTGCAGCGCAAGCCATCCATGGTCCCTCTGTAGGCGCAGGCGTCCTGTGGCTTGCCACAGTGACAGGCAACTCCGAAACCGGATGCCGCCAACCATGTTTGATTCCTTCTGTATGCACAGGCGTTTTGTGGCTGGCCACAGTGACAGGCAAATCCGAAACCGGATGCTGCCGACCATGTTTGATTCGACAGCTCAGACCTGCTTATGATACCCTCTGTCATCCTTTTTGTGAGATTCGATGCTGTTTAGGTCCCCGCTGCTTTTTTTAGCTCAACATTTCCCTAATTTCGTGAGCTATATGGTCGCTGAGCTCACAATTTTAATTACTTGCTCACTGGTAACCGATTAGAAGTTCGGAACTTGTGAACGAAACGGCTTCTGGATAATCTGACGCTGAAGGCCACCCTTTGGCACGCACTCCAGATCTTCTAGGTGCACGATGGCGCTGGAGGACTAGACTGACAAGTCTGTTTTTCATGGTCACTGAAGTTGTTTTTCGCTTCGCTTATCTAAGTGGCTGTACTGCATCTGGTGGACGTATACCTCAAAAGTTGATGCGCATATGGACAACTACTGTGTGACCTTTTAAATCCTCACCCACTTCTGAAGACAGCGACTATCCACATTGTTAGCCGAGAGACGGTTTGAAACGATGTAGTGCGAACACAACCGCTTTGCGCATCTTGAGTGCAGCTATAGTGTGTTGCATACGTTAACAAAATACACCTTGGTCAGTGATGCACGGAAGCGTTTTTCGCAACTGGTGATGTCGTCAGGTGACTATGTTTCAAGCCCACTTGTTGGCGTCGTTCGATGACATTTTCTAGTCATTTAACTTGATCCGCACACCATGGTAGGTCACCTTTTCCGAACACCCAATAACCACTTACCTCGGTTTATGTCATCCGCAAGTGTTGCACTCAGATGAAGACGCAGAGTAGTAAGTATTGACATTAGTAAAATGCAAGTGGAATTCCGCTCAGCCGGTCAACTATGGGTTGTACATAATGATGGATGCGTAATTGAACCACGAAAAAATAGTGGTCGTTGTCGGAATACTGGACAACAAAGTAAATCACCGGATTGAGTTAAGAGTTAACGAACGGACACAGTAGCACCACTTACTTGTTAGCTCTGCCACGTCCGCACAAGCTTTACAGCCACAAATGTGACTGATCGTTAACTCCACGTCTAGTAAGACGATGTGCCTACATCACTCAACCTTCCGCCATATTCCTCCATGCCGCTTTGTTATGTCATGTACTGGCCACCTTGGGACTTCAGCTATGTTGACACAGTATTTGTCGGCACGCGAACAAAATGACCTAGCCAATGTTGACGCCAAGAGTAATAAACTTATCACTGTTTGGCCTCTTTTCCACCAAACGATTTGTTGCGTACCATGCTGTTCCTCCTAAATTATCCGCAATCCTTGCAAACATTCCGAAGCCGTTACCGAAGCATTACTTTCAACTCACCTTCTGATGTTCCCTTATGCGGCAGTCCTTCGCCCTTGCCTCCTGTCTAGCATACTATTCGTAGTGTCTGTTACTCTGGCTCTGTGATTCTCAACGGGGGAGTAATTACTCCCAATTGGGTAGAATGGAATTTTACGGGGGTAATTGTTAGTCCGAGGATTGGGTCATCAATCTGTCGCCAAACAAAATTATTAACAAAATTATCTGTATCAAAACGAGCAACACGACCTAATCACTATTGGTTAGCCATCAGTGACTTATCATTAGTGAGTGGTCATTAAATTAGACAGTTTTCCGTAATAAATTTTATCACCTAAAATGCAAAGTAGCGCAGCTATATGACACCTCTATCGGTTCGCTCGTAGATTGTTGTACTTTTATGTCAGGCATTCGTTCTCGCGGTCGAATTACAGCGTTGAATGAACACTAAGGTGACAGCCGAGCAGGTAAAGGAACGACCGAATTTTTACAAATTGGGTCAAAACGAGTGATTAGTGTTCACTACGTATCGTTCCAAAGTGGTGGTTGGAAGCTGTCATTCACCAATGAATCGGAAGGGATACTTGGAACAGATGAGTAGTCACTGACCTCTGTTAATGTTGGCCCAGGGATCACGCACCAAGCAAGGAACCGAAGTAGATTGGAACACGACGCGATGTGCATTAGCCGAAACCGCATCAAATATACCAGAAATCATTAAAACTGACCATTATCAACCGTCTCATTAACTTAAATCTACTTGATTTAATAAAAATTGCTCTAAAATAGGTGTTTTCTTTATTTGATGCACAAAAATTAACCAAAAGCATTACCCCTTTTTCCGTGATTTAAAGCGAAAAATACAATAGTTAATAGATACTTAGCATTTAAACTAAAAAATTTTGGGAGCAATTGTTTATAGTGAACCCGCTTTGGGAGTACCAACCACGAAAAGTTTGAGAACAACTGCTCTAGCTTGTTATCGTTTAAGGCTTCATCTGAAAATATGCTCACCTCTAGACCACCATTTTGGCTTGGAGATTCTGTGATACGTTCCTGTGAATTTCTTCAGGTCGATCACAGTTGAGACGAATAGCATTTGACTTCGGAACCTCTTCCTTAATAGTCATTTATTCACTTCTCATTTCATTCTTTCCTTGGTAGGCCATGGACCTTTTTCTCACACTTGGGAAGTGTACATCAAACACGGCGGCATTGAATATAGAAAGTACAAGGTAGATGACCACTACGATCAGCTTTCTAACTTAGAAATAATTTCCGTAGTTTGGTGTTGCTATTCACTTGTTATTCTCCTGATCTCCCGAAGTTCGGCTTTTATCTGTTGTCAAGTTTCTTGTGGTGGCAGATTTATTCATAGGCGTAGTTATGCTTTTAATCACCACTCCGATTCTCAGCTAGCGCTCCTCAATGCACTCGGAGGTCAGTGCACTATTTTAGATAAGTATCGGCAATTCATCATATAATCGGCAACAGGGTAGCTCATGCTTTTGGCTTGTAATCTTCGGGTCACCTATTCGAACTTGCGGACCTGCGGGCGACTTCGCATCACTCACATGCAACCGTTGATCCTTCGTAATCCGTCTCTTAACAGTCTGTCAACTTATGTGCTCAGAGTGCACTTACCCTAACCGAAATGCTCGTTGACTGCATGTGAGTACTATGGGAGTAGTGATTGCGGTTCATACACATTTCGCCGCTAGCATATTCTTGACTCCCCTGATCTATTCTGCAACTTCTGCCTCATTTCCTATATGAGGCTTGGGTAGCAGACTGTTTGTTCGCTCATCTGCTAACCTCGTAAGTGAGACATAACTGTTTGTCGGCATGGAATGCTCTGTCTGCGCGAACTCAGTTGTACTTGCTGCAACTTGTGGCTCCACAATCATCTTACTTCAGGCCGCGTAAGCACACCGAACTTTGGTTTTTCTCATCCATCCATCTGGATTATATTTAAGATATCTTTTAAGGTCTTTCAATTAAAGCACAATGCTTGCTTGAATACTTCGCCGAAAATCTGTCCTTCGACAGGTTTTACTTGAGCAAATGAATTTCTGATCGATATTCTGCAGAACAAAGGCGTATCATGCCTCTTGTACTCACCATACATACTCTTTCATATTTTCGCTGCCAGCCTTTAGCGTTTCTAGATTTATTAATTCGTTTTATACGGACGAACCGACCAGTCTGTTGGATGTTTTACAGATAACGGCTCAATTGACTCAAATGCCCCTTTGCTTTCCAATTTTTGTGCCCGTTTCACCGAATATGCACTCTTACTTTCGGGATCTTTGCCTACTGACTTGAATGCGGTTTGCAGTAGCAAAAACTCTCCGAAGCCGGCAACCGACGATTCCGGTAACGTCTGTAACCGCTGATATCGCCAGTCTTGTACTGGCCCTAAAGTGGAACAGTGGACAAATATATCGATTAACGGTGGTTTTTTCTGTAACCGTACTGGTTATGGTAGCAGCCGATAGAAGCTTTCGGCCTTCTATGATAATGACTTTGCAAAGCGTTTAACCAAGAGTCTCCTCCCTTGCCTCAAACGCAATGTTACTTTACTTATGAGGACACGGAGGCTCTGTCATTGTCGGCCAGGCGGTTCCAAACGGTCTGTGCTCGGTTCCTAACCATACGCCTTAAATATAGCCCATCGTGTCGAACGCTCCTGTTTTGACGGATGACATTGAGGAGGCTATCTCGGACAGCGTATTTGGCTGAAATGCAGGCCTACGAACCTGTTAAAAAAGCGAACGACTGTTAGCTAACCTAGCAGTCCTTCCACTAAGTTCGAGAAAACAACTGACCAAGTGCTGAAGAGAAATAAAAGGGGATACCTATCGCTACAACGACCTGTGGAAGAAAATAGCAAGTGTCCTTGCTACCAGTAAAATCGATCGGCAGTTACATAGATTTGAAAGTTCACGGGATAAGTACACCTCAAGTAATTCGTATATTGGTAGCAACGTCATCTTCCAAAAGGTCGTTGAGTCCGTTGTCGCCTTTGCTGCTGAGCCGACGTTGGACGACCTTAAATCGTTTATGATTTGCGTGGTGACACCTCTTCACCTGCTTTTCCTGGCGCCACTGTCGGGAATCTGACCGGACCTGGAAGAAGTCCTTTTGATTGCACTTCTGATCTTAGATCCTAGTATAGTCACGATTTAGGTTACAGATATTTCACTAGCGAATAGACTAACATCAAAGTCTATCATCAACTGGTGAGCAAAGTGTAGTTGATTGGTTTTTAAGGTCTCAGTTGATGATCCACTTTCATTCTACCAGATCCCATTCCAGCAGCGCACGATCCAGAGCCGATCGTATCGAATTTCTGCAGGTGATACTCGGCAGTGTGCATTGCCTAAAGAATACGATGTACTAGCGGCATCTAATTACAGACAAATCTCCTCCGACTTGTGTTGACTGAAACCCGGCTGTTCACGAATATCATGGTTACGCACTGTTTAGATGTGACACTGCAAACAGACTAGCACTAGTGCTTTTAAGCCTTTGAGGTCTGTCATCATCATCATCATCATACACGTTAGCTAGAGGTGGGGAACACCTCAGCTACTGTGCCGCAATACATATAAAAAAGGAGAAAAAAGCAACTGGTGCAAGCCGGCTGAGCTACCGGTAACGTATGGGCACCGTTCCGATAAGCTACCAGTCGGCTCCTGTGCACCAAAAAACTACTATGCAAAATTATATAAGGCTAAATAATGAGATCGTGGTTGGAGGGGAGGCTAAGAGGGATCATCATCATCATCATTATACACCTCAGCTAGTGGGAAAACACCACCGCTGTTGTGCCGCAATACATGAAGGAAATACATACATATAATACAATACACAAAGGAAAATTAGGTACAACAGTTGCATGCCAGCTGAGCTACCAGCAACGGATAGGCATCGTTCTGGTAAGCTACCAGCCAGCTAGCTACTAGGCAGAAAGAAAAATTTTTATTATGTTTTACCCTAGGAAATGAGATCGTAGATGGATGGGGATGCTAAAAAGGATTCAGAGGGACAAAGAAACTCACAGCATAAACGCCGCTGAGGTAGGATCCTTGCCATGTCAGCAAGTGTATCCAGCAAAACGTGTTCACCGTCTTTTGGACCCCAACCAGGGAGCCGTGACGTTCCAACCGAGGTTAGCTCCGAAGTGAGGGACTTCATTCCTCTGGACCAAGTCATCGCTTGGCCAACTCTCCTCTTCTTCCACCCACATCCCCGGTGAGCAAACAACGCACGTCGAGGGAGTCGGTGGGCTGGCATGCGTAACACGTGGCCGAGCCATCGGAGTCTGGTGCGGGAAATAACGGTGCTGAGCGGCTCAGACCCTTTTCCTGGGCCGTAAACAAGGCGTCGAACACGCTCGTTGCTCACGCGGTGTTCCCACCAGATGTGAGCCAAACTGCGAAGGCACCGATGGTCGAACGTAACTAGCTTCTTCATGTCCGCCGATCTTAGGGGCCAGGTTTCGCAACCGTACAGTAGGGTCGAACGTACCGCTGCATTGTACACTCTACCCTTCAGGGCGAGAGTGATGTCGCGCCGCCGCCATAGGTGTCGAAGGTTAGCAAAAGCACTTCGAGCTTTCTCTATACGGTTCGTAATCCCGTCTTCGATCCCAACGGCGCTGATACAACTTCCCAGGTAATTGAATTTCTGAATGACTTCTAGCTGATCCCCACCAAGGGTCAGCGTAGGAGGCGATCCCTGCCACATTTCGATGGTGCAAAGCAAAGCCCGAAGCGGCTGACAGCCAGTGTTAATCTGTCCAGCGCGGCTTGGCACGTCTGGGAGCTGTCACAGATGAGGGCAATGTCGTCTGCATACTCCAAGTCAAAAAGTCGTTCTCCTGGGAGTAGCTCCACATCTTCCAAGTCATGTCCTGTAAATGCAAACTCCATGGCTTCGTCAATAGCGAAGTTGAAGAGGAAAGATGACAGCGGGCATCCTTGCCTCACACCACTGGAGATATTGAAGGGTGGCGACAGCTTGCCGTAAGCCCTTACTCTGCCCGTGCTACGCGCATATAATGCTTGGATAATATTTATATATTTCTCGGGCACACCTTTCCTGAGTAAACAATTCCAAAGGGCACATCGATCAACCGAATCGAAGGCACCTTTGATGTCGAGGAACACGACTACGGTGGGCCGCCAATATGTGTGGCGGTGCTCCAACTACTGACGCAAGGTAAAGATGTGTTTGATGCAGCCACGACCACGACGAAACCCGGCTTGCTCCTCACGAATCTGGCTTTCACGAGCGCCAGTCAGTCTGTGAAGAATTATGGAGACGAGTAATTTGGAGGCGATGGAGATCAGACTGATTCCTCTATGGTTGCCGCATTCCGAGCGCGAGCCGCTTTTGAAGATGGGAACAATAACGGAGCGGCTCCAGTCGGTTGGGACAGTCGCCTGCTCCCACAGTTTCACTAGTAATTCATGTAAAGCATCAACAAGAGCAGAGCCTCCGAATTTGAGGTGGGATGGAGAAAGATCATCTGGTCCCGCGGCTTTGTTCAACTTCAACAGTCCGATCTCACGTTCGACTTCTGAGCGAGAGGGTGGATCCAAAGGGACAGCCCACGGAGCAGGGCGATCACTGGCGGGCGAAGAATCGAACAATTCTAGCCGATTAAATTATTTTTCAGAATTCTCAGCCCAACGCTCCAAACGTTTTGACAAATTGTGGATAGGCTGTCCACTCTCATCACAAATTGTTTCACTAACACCAGGTCTCCTGCTGCCCGTTTCCCGTATCAGACGGAATAACTTACACTGGTTGCCAAGGGCAGCGGCCACTTCCATCTCTGACGCACGATGAGACCACCAAGATTCGCGGTCTCTCTTCGGGCTAGTGCGGAGTTTTGCCCGGAGCTCTTTGCGAGTTTCATTGTGCTCGCTTTCAGCCGGGATATGCCGGCGAGCGTCCATAAGTTCCAGAGACTGTGAAGAGACCCAATGTCCATGTTGGCGATTAGACATACCACATGAGGATTTGTCTGCTGCTAGTAAGGTCTGGCGAACATGTGACCAGTGACCATCAATTGTCTCCAGTGAGCGCTTAATCAACTCGCATGTCAGCGTACTTGGATACGCATTCAGAACAGCTAGCCTTGTCAGTTGGCTGGTGTCAATGCGCTCGCAGCGTCGTCGTGGGCGTCCGCCAAAACGCAGCCGCATGTCAGCACATAAAAGTG